GGTATCACACGTTGGAGTTGAAATTGAGAATAAAGACATTGCCTCGTGAAAGCCTCTGATTAAGTCTTGGGAGATCGGTGAAAGGCACTGTCTTGCTATTCGTCGTTGTCTAACGACCGAGGAAACATTTTTCTCCCCGGCAACAAACAACCAACAACAGGTCAATATTTACTTTCCTACCTATGAGGAATGCAATATGAGAAATAATCTCTTTGCATGTTTCTACTTTCTACCTTATCTAAAACTCCTGGACTAAATTCTGTGAAATTTATAAATAGGTAACGCCAAGAAAAAATGGCAACTCTCATCTCGTAAACAAACTATAGGTTTTCTCATTTTGCAAATATTCTGATAAATTATTTGTCCAATTCAGCAAATAATGACTGTCGCTATCCCACACCCATAGCTTTTCAGCAAGTTATCTCCAGTTTATTGCATAGAATTATTCCTGATAGTTTTCTTACAACCCATTCCATATAAAATGCTCAGACACCGTGGCATCAAGCTTTTATCTTCACATGGCGCTTGAAAAAATCTTGAATATATCCAACTTATTAGTTATTAGTTAGATTCTAGAGATTCTTTAGAAAATATCTCTTGGCGTCGCCTCAGAATTCATCGTCTGATAATTTGAATGCGATTTTGTATTTAAAGAAAAGGGCTATTTTGCATCAACAATAATAACAACGACATTTTTCCTTTTTGCCCATATTCATTATAGATTTCTCGAACATTTCCTCAAAGCATTAATTCCACCTGTCAAGTTAGTATAACGTTGCCGTACCATTCAATTGAACGATTAACATGAGCAACGGAATGCAAAATCCTGCAAAGTCAGTGAGATTTTTCAATAGATCCGTTGACACCCATGAGCACTGTGTTACAATCAGGAAGCGTCATAGAAAAACTGTAAAGTTGCTTTCTATTGTTATAGCAACGTACGAAAGAAGCATTCTCGGCATATTAGTAAAAATTATTATTTTTTTAGTTCGTATCAAAAAATGACGAAATGGTCCTCTGTGGTTAGTCGCGAACAAAACTTGATCGCAGAGGATTGACCGCAGTAGCCTCATGCAACACACGCATAAAACTTGTCATTCGATACAAAAAAGCAAATTTGTAAATCAAGTCCCAATCCATAACCGTAGAAACTTACACCGCTACCGGAACGGCCTTAGATGAAAACCCGGATTTATTTAAAAAATGTCTATTTGACATGATGCTCAATATACCGGAAATACGTTGTGAATTATTGCTCCAATTTATATATTATTTTAACGTTTGGTAGTGCGCTTTGAAATATAACATAAAGATTCATTAAAATAGATGTGTGAATGCACTATTGCTATAAAAATATATATATATATTTATTTTGTTCGTGCAGACTTCAATGTGTTTGCTATACAAATCGGCGGATGGAGTGCACCAATCAAAAATGCCGACGAAACTTATAAAAACGGTGAATCGTCAAGAGGCAAAGTTTCCTAGGCCAATCGTTATTTCTTTGGAATGCTTATCTGTAAACTTGTCTTTATGCTCTCGCCAGCCGGCGCTGTAAACAAAATTTGCAGCATATTACAACACCACGCGTTATGTAAACTAGCTAATGAGTATTTGCAGTATTTGAAGGAATTCAAATAATCACTGCTTTACTGACACGTAATCTTTTTATATATGATTCAATTATGATTTAAGTTTGGTGAATAAAATTCCTAGTCTCGAAAAAAGTAAAAATACAACGAATAAAGATAGCGATATATAATAAAGTACAAAATATATCTAAATATGTTAAACTACAACAGCGTGTAATAAAGAATGAAGCGAATACAAAACATTTTTGCAATAACATATTGTCAAAAATATGAATATAAATGATGTTAAGTTCACTATATAATTACTACATATCAAACATTCTATATATGAGTGATTAAATGTGCATTCCATGTGTAGACAAATTTTTTTAATCATTGTATAGGCTAGTTTATGGTTGATTACAGCGGACCAAATTTGTAAATTTAACCAAGGTCGGGGAACCTATTGGAGGAAAAGTCCTGAGAAACAGACACAATGATATTTTTACGTAAATTGTGCGAAAAGTTAGGAAATCGGAAAATAACATAATAATTATCATAATTCTTTCCCCATTGACATCAAAATTGTGCGAAAAGCTAAGAATCGGAAAAGAACATGATAAATATCATAATTCTTTTCATATAGACATCAAAACGGGAGGCAGTCTCAGATACAAAAATCGGTACTCCTGAAGTATGCGCAACAAGATGTCGCACAACCTGAACCCTAATCTGGTACACAACCTGAGTTCAAGTTGGGCGCCATCTTGGTGCGCATACTTCAGGAGGTCCCAAAAATCTTCTATGTATCCATCAGAAAATAGTAATATGATGATGAGACTGATTGGGGGGCTATCTGTGATTGTACCTTGAACTATTGTTTCGTGCCGAGCAAAAGAAAACAGTCTCTGTTTCCAATCACCCATGTCCACTATGGTACTGATAGTAGCAACTAGGATTATGAATTCCAATATAAGCGAATCAAAAATTATCAGGTGAAAGTACGAATTGTACTGTATAAATGAAACTATAGGACCAATGATCATTGCAAAGATGGGTATTGCTCTAGCAATCAAACACCGTTTCATTATTCTTCTTAAATTTGCATTATTATTTATTTTTAATTTCCAAAAACGATAAACGAAAAGAAAAAGTAAAAAAGATTGTGAAATTGCCATAGCAATATACATAGAAGCTATTTGCAACAGCAATGTGGGAATCGGATATTGCTTTTCGGGTGCGCAACCAACTGAGGTATTGCTATATTCACCACGAATAATCATTACGAGTAAACCCGTAAGCACACCAATGATAATAAAAGCTAAGATGTGCCAAATCAATACTTGCATAAATTTGAATCGCTTTACAGAAAATAGCTGGTACACTTGTCTGTGACGCCTAAAGTAAATTAGGTACGGTATAGAGACACAAATAGCGACCAAAACATGCTTCACATATCGCAGGTTTCTGCACAGATCCACTTCATCGTCATAAGAATAACGTAATTCAAGAAAATCAAGGCATCCCACAGCAACGAACAAAATCAGAAACGTTATGATTAAGTATCTCATAACGTCCCTATCTGTATATCTTTTCATGTTTAAATATCGAGTATTCCCATGAATTCGTTTCATGACTATTCTCTTTTCCTTTTGTACTTTCCATTCATAAATCAAAGTTACGACCAAGACATAGAAGTTTAATAAAAATCTGAAAGATGCAAAAATCACAGCCGCCAGCCATTGTCTATATACTTCCTCTTTATTGAATGAATCAGTATCATTGACCGAAACATTTTGGCTTTTTTGTAGAAACCACATCTTGTAGAAAATTCGAGAACGTTGAGACAAAACGAAATTTTATTTATAATGTTTTTTAGAACAAAAATAGGTTAAACATGGTGTATTGCACGTTTGTGCGAATTTTAACCCCATATTTGCAGAAAATCTTGTAATAGTTTTGCGTTAATATATGAGTAATGTTGTGATTTCTTATGAAGATATATAGGTATATACAATTTGACTACCAACGAATCAATATTTAATTTCCTATTGATAGGTATGTATTAGAAGAAAAGATCTTCTTGCATGTTTCTACTTTATACCTTGTCTAAAACTCCTGCACTAAATTCTGTGAAATTCATAAAATAGGTAACGACAAGAAAAAAAAAATCAAATAGTTCACAAACATTCATTCTCGTAGACGCAATATATATAGGTTTTCTCATTTTGCAAACTATCTGCACAATTAAGCAAAAAATTACTGTCGCTATCCCACACACATCGCTTTGCAACAAGTTATCTCCAGTTCATTGTATAGAAATATTATTGATAAAAGTTCCCTCACAACCGCTTATATATGAAGTGCTCAAATACCTTGGCATTGAGCTCAAATCTTCACATGTTCTTGAAACTATCTTGAACATATACAAAACTATTATTTTACCACAGAGTCCAGAGATTCCTTAGAAAATATCTTGTGGTATCGCCTCAGAAATCAGAATTCATCGTCTCACAGTTTGAAAGCGATTTGTGCTGTATTTAAAGAAAAGGGATATTTTTGCCTCAACAATAATAACAAAGACATTTTTTCTTTCGCCCATATTCGGTATAGACTCCTTTAATAAATATTTCCTCAAAGCAATAAGCCTCAAATCGTTGCAAACATTCAATTGACAATAACAACGGAATGCAAACTCCTGACTCAGAAATTTTTCAATAGATCCACAGACTTCCTCGAGCACTGCGTCACAATCAGGAAGCGTTATAGTAAATATGCTGAGGTGCTTCCTATTGCCATTGCAACATACGAAAGAAGCTTTCTCGGCATATAATCGAACACGAATTATTTCATATGATGAAATGATCTTTATGCAACCTACACATGAAACATATCAAACTTACACCGCTACCGGAAAGGCAATATCTGAGCACTCGGATTTGGCGAAAAAATGACTAACTTACATAGTGGCGCTTACAATTAACAATTATCGCTTTAGTGTTTATATTAATTTAACGCTTGCTAGTGTACTCATTTGAAATGTAAGATATGATATCATTTAAAATATACTTATTTACGTACTTAACAACAGAATAAAAATGAGAAAGAAATTATATACAGGTCTCTATCTCACTCCACTCAAGTTTACTCACGCCCATTTTTACCCACTCAAGTTTTTTTTTATATTAAATATCACTTCGAATAAGGTTGTATGTAGCCCCGAAACCCCGGCCGTGGAAATGCACAAAGTCACAGCCACACGTGATCTCTAGAATGAAAGAAGCTACAAAGAAAGGTAGACACAATACACATCCAGCATTTGACAAATTGAATAAGAAACTACAACCCAAAGGGCATCTGCACCTATTCAATGAAAGGTGCAGACCATCTATCCCAAAATGTCACATACCCACAAAATAAGCACGCAACTAAAAAAAAACACTTTTTTTAGAAATAAGCATAACGTTACTTTATAAGGCGCAAGCTAGAAAATAAGCACAAATATTAGAAATAAGCACGATAGCCCTGCATATACGAGATGTTATATATTCGGAATTCTATTTTTCAACAGCCTCAAATCCGACCCAAATCGCCCAGTGTCGGTCAAGTTTTGTTGGAAACAACAACCTAGTGTAAGTATTGTCATAAAAACTTGACTGATAAAAATACCAACGCCTTATATGTGCAAATTCCTGTTATAAAATTTAGTTTAGTTCAGTAAAATTTTATTGGCCAAGTTTCCCGACAGTAGCTACAGATTTCCATAAAATATAGATATAAAAAAAAGGTTAACAACTATTGTTGGTACAGATCTCATGAAAGCTAATCGAAGGCGCAACATTTTTAAAAATTCATTGACATTTTGCTGACAAAGAAAAAGGTGGTACTGATAGATTTCGGTGTGTGTTGCTCCCCAACGAGTGTATGCTTAACCAAGTACACTAGTACTTTCCTGCCCTCCTGTTTTTTAAATTAGTTATTGATGCGTGTTGGATATTCCAGGAAAGCCATACTACCAACTGATTAGGATTTCGTTATGGTTCTTGAAGTAAGATTTGCGAATTGTACATAGAGTATGAACAAATCTAACTGAAAATTATATCAGAGCATGTAAAACGAAGAAGAATTTTCACAAAAATGCAAATTGCTGATATCTGCCTGTCTTTGATTACATTATTACCTACAACAGCTCTAAGCCTCCAAAAGATAAAAGTATGGAGATATTATTAGACTCAACAGAAATGAATCAATTATCTTCTCTCAACTATTTAACAACAGTTCCTCAATTTATTATAATTCCAATTGAATACATTAAGTTGCTATTTCACTATCCTCCTATTGTTAAACTTCACTTGCATCAGCAGAGAAATCATCAGTCCATTGGCAAGTACTAGAATGTTGATGTGAGATCTTGGAAACATCTTCAAATGTTGATTCTTTGCCCTGCATACAAAATAGAAAATTACTTTTTTACAGAATTCCTGGCGCTCCAGATGTGTGTGTACCAGTATGAAGGCAATTAATTTTGTTCGCCCACTTTACATCAAGTTGTGTAATTGGACTGAAACCCACCTGCAGGGGGTATATATTCACTTGGCTAACGAAGACGGTCAGCGAATTCGTAATAGAACTAAAATAAAGAATAAAATTATGGCTTAACCCTAACCTGGTTGGTGCACACATTACAAGAGAACCGAATTCCCATATCTGTGACAATTATACTTTAAAGCTTGAGTGCAATCTCATAAAAAGTAAGAGCAGCAGTTTTCAACCTTATAAGTGTAACAGAACCCCAATCAGTGCTCCAGAGGCTCGGGGAACCCCTGTGCATTAGTCCAGCTGTATTTTATTGTCTGTATTACATCAAATATAAATATATATATTAATGTAAACACGGTACAGTAGAACGATCTTTATGTTGCAAGTTTAGTAACAGAGCCAAACCTTATAGGTATTTAATTTAATTAAACAATATACAAATAATAATATATTCTCCCGCATTTGAGTGTAAACTTGAAAACTTTGTTAAATTTTTTGTGCCTTGAAAACATTGGCGAAAACCTAGAAATATACCTGCGTGATACTTTCTAAGTCAATAGCAGGTTGATATCCCATGTTAGGTGCAGTATCATCACTAATAGAGATATTTGCCAAATCCTCAGAACCAGAATCCTCTTGCTCCTTGTCATCAAGGAGCACTAACTTTAATTCGGGTAGTCTGAATATAATAGGGGGTATGGGGTTAGTTAGCCAGTTATTTGTTTCACACACATGAACCTCATGGTGGAGCAAGTCATAAACGAACAGCGGTTACGTAAACACCTTACAGTGTTCATCATTCGCATCATGCATAAATATTTCCACAATACTGGGACCTGCGAACCAACGCAAGATAATCAGAGGTAAGTGTAATAAGTATAATTGTTTGCTCATGAGCACTGAAGAGTAATAACGTAACAATTAGACGTGCGCCAAGCTGACTAAGTGTTAAGAATACGCTTGCCACCACCCGTCTGATTACTGTGTGATTTTGCAGGTCCGCACACCATGTGGAATAATAATGTGCTGTAGAGCGATAAATATGAAAATCCTATCCTATTTTATTCTAGCTATAACTTTGAAGACAAATATTAAAATACCTTTTATTTATTCTTTTGTATCTACAATTCATCATTTCACTTGCACTAACTGCGATTGCAATATTCTCTATTGTTTGTTGTCCTTCCGGCAATACTTCATTTCCAACCTGAGGTGAGCAATAATGTATTATATGGATAACAAACTCTCGAATGGTAGAAGAAAAAAAAGTGACTTGGATTTGGTATTCTGGTTCCTCCATAGTATGTGAACCAAGATGGTGGACACCGGAACGTAGTGTGTGTACCAGGCTAGGGTTGGGCCATAATTTTATTTCAATTTTTCATTAGAAGTTCGGGGACTAGCCAATGACTCCCATTTGTAACTAAAATTATCGCCTACCCTAACCTGGTACACATACTACATTCCAGTGTCTGCCGTCTTGGTTCGCATAGTACAGGAGTACCATATTCTTGATATATATCCAAAACAGATGAAATGTAAAAAGATGACCTTGTAATATGAAAATCACTTGACATCTATCAGCCTCAAATACCTAGCGTGGAAGTTGATGTGAAATAAAATATACAATCACATATATGCCTATATACCATATTCCTTTCCTGTTGTGTAAAAGATAGAACGTGAAAATAGCAAAATAATTGCATTAGAAAATAAGAAATATTCAGTGTTACAAGGATTTAGTTATATTTATCCCGGAGAAGAAGGCTGGCAAAATGTCTTGGCGTATCACAGTCTCTGATTCGATCACCAGTCCATGTCAGGTATGGAATTAGTTAGCCAGTTTATTTGTTCCAGATTCATGGCCTTGATAGTGGAGGAAGCAGTGCTACATGAAAACTACCCTGTTGCTTTCCCTGACGCATAGCATGATGCACCAACCACCCTGCCGTGGTACCACTAAGATGTTTAGAATAAATTGATTGAAAATACATGCAATGAAGTAGGAGTACAGGCAGCATTCAACAGGGATCGGATTTTATTCACACAAACTTCGCTTAAAAACTGCATGCATTTTCTACCTGTTCAACAAACGATGTTTCATCACCTTGTTGCCGTATTCTTTTAACTCTCAATTGTCCCCCCTGAAGTGATAAAGCAAACAATTTGACGGATATGACATGTTTCAGAATGCTGGTTGAGCACATGTACTAAATAGTGAGCTTTGTTCATTTCTTTTTTGAAGAACTATATAAGCCTGAGGTTGAAAGTAAGAACTATACAAAACTTTTAATTTTTCAAAAATTATTTTTCATATAGAAGATGAATTCTTCAAGCAAACTTGTCAAGATATTGAAACAACAACTGACTAGATCAAAATTATAGAACCATACTTACATCTTGCTCAGTGAATGATTGAATATCTTTCTGAATAGCTAATTTGACCATACATGTTCGTTTATGACTCTCACAGTTATCAGCACGAGAAAATGATCTGTCGCATATTTCACATTTGAACGGTTTTTCTCCTGCCAGAAAGAATATTTAGGGATTAGTAAAGGTTCTATACTTAATAATATCAAATGCAGTAAAATATTTTTATAGCACTGACAGAGCAGAATCGGATTCCACATGAATTTTACCAAGATTTCGCTAGAACATAATCTGGATTCAGGTCAATGTAGTTTTATTTTTTATGGTAATAAGAATACAAAATAATACACTAAATTTTGAATAAATTTTTTTGAACTCTGATTCAGCATTTTGAATAAATACATTAAAAAAATAGGTTAATGAAATACATTTAATTATTTCAAGCAAAGTGAAAAAATCAAGATTGATCGAAAGAACTTTTGATACCTGTATGAGTTTTCATATGACGTTTCAAATGGAATTTATCAAGAAACTTTCTATCACACATTTCACATCCATGAAGACCAATACCCGTATGCTTCTTCTGATGTAACTTTAATCCATGAACATTTACAAACTGACGACCACAAGTTTCACAGCTGAATGGGCGATCTCCTGTGATTAAAATTCATTCAGTTTTGCACATCTTTACTTAGAGAACGGCTGAAGGAAAGCAGCCAATTAAACGTAATGATCAAGACCAGGGTATCATTAGTGCTCATGATCCACAAATGTCACAAACAAAATACTAGCCAGTAGCATCAGGAAGACTAAAGTCAATAAATCAACTGTTATAACTCAGACAAAACCCAGAACAGTAGTGACTTGATTTACCTTCTGATGATGCAGTGAGTGCAGGGACTTGACAACTTGATATTCAAAACCTTTATAAATTTTCTGGGGCCTAAACCGGACGGCACAGAAATAGACATACAGTTTTCATATTTATCTCAGTAGTATGGATAGCTGACTAGACAGCTTAATTATGTGATAATGACCTCGCCCCTTTACCAGTCCATGAAGATATGGGAATAGTAAATCGTAGTTTCATATATAGAACCTGATGTGGGTGGAAGTCGTCAGCAGTTCACAGAAAGTTTGGAATTGTTGTATTTTGCAGTAAATATATAGGTTTACCTGTATGCATCATAGTATGTCTTCTCAGATGATTTTGAAAAGCGAATGTTTTTCCACAAATTTTACAAGTCAATGGATTATTATGTCGAATAATATGATATGCAAGTCTATTTTGTTGCTTGAAACCTGAAATAGAGATAAAGTCTTGTATACATTTCACAATTTATTAAAAAAAAGCTCCATCATTAAGTTACACAATAGCTTTGGTAATGACAAATAATTCAAACACAGGATAATTAATAGAGTAGTCTAGTAGTACAGCTTGTATAAAAAAATAATATGGAAAAGACACAAAACACTTTCTCTGGGCAAAATTAGGCGCTCCTGTAGTATGTGCACCAATTTGGCGCACAACTGAACCCTAACCTGGTATGTTTATGTTGTGCACCATCTTGGTGCCCATACTACGAGAGCATCCAAAACTATATGAATTTGCATTCCTTTCTTGATAAATTACCAAATACATACGTTTTCCACAATGCGGACAGATAGGCTCAGATTTGCTGTGGGATTTCTGATGGATAAGCAATCCACCTTTATCCTTAAATTGTTTTGCACACAGTTCACAAAAGAAAGGTCGCTCATTGGAATGGGTTAACTGATGTCTCTACAAATGATAGAAAATTATTAAATTATTCAAATCTATTGGTCAAAATATACATTAAATTTTCGAATTTCTTGCTAATAGATAATGATTTGCTGAAACAATGAACAGTGGATAGGCCATAGTAACTCATTTTTATTATAAGCAAAATATATATCGGATGATTAGTTGATAGTGTTAAATTTAGGTCCTATTTCGAAATTTTCAACTTGAATGACCAACCATCACATTAAATATAAAGAGTTAATAGCGAACATGTGGCGATAATATACATTTTGTGCTTTTCTTAAATATAAATTGAAGGGGTTGCGACATGTTAGAAAATATTCAAAAGTGGTTGCAAAGCAAAAAGGGTTGGGAACCACTGGCATAGATGGAAAGATTCGGGTCCCAAGAATGGTCACTCTCTACATATTGTTCACCGTTTGTATAAACCTTGGGCAGAGTGAAAGGTTTAAAAAGGAATAAAAAAAAAAGAAGCACGGGTGATGAAAACACCTTGCAAAAGCGTAGCTTAGTAATAGAATTTCGAACATAAACTTAACATGTTGACTCATAAACAGCATTATCTATTCCCATTAAAATCATTCATAAATGTTGCAACAGTTCAGTTTTTCAATTACATTAATAATATTATCTTAATTCATGCATGCTATACAATAATTTTTCAAACAAAATTTAAACCTTTAAATTATCTTTCGTTTTAAATTTTTTGTCACATTGATCACATTGAAACGGTCTTTCTGTAGAATGTGTTCTTTCATGCCTGGTTAGATGATCAGCCTGTAATACATGCATCAATGATTACAAATCAACATATCAATGATCTAAACCAAATAAAAATCCATTCATAAACTCACCTTTAAAAATAATTTGCCACACGTTGTGCAACAGTGTTTTCTTTCACCTAAATTTAAAAAACATCCCAGAATAGAAAAGTAAAATTAGGTACTAAAAGAGATTGCCAAACATATTTTGTTGTATAATTCTAATGTCAAAAATATTCTTCAATTAATAGAAAAAATAAAATCAGAAAAAGGGAACAACAAGTTGAACCAAACTTCATTTTGAATCTTAGTTCCAAATGTCTTCAAATTCTTATTTATATAAAGTTCTGTTTTCGTTTATTTCATACTTGAAAAATGATCAATAAATGGATGAATATAATGGAATTAAAATTCTTTGCAAAATAAAGTTTTTAAACTAGCGTTAGTTGCAGCCTAAAAATAGGATCAGCTAACACTATGATTGAAGCATTTACCTGAATGACTAAGCATATGCCTTTTTAAATGGCTCCTTGATCTAAACAGACTTTTACAAAGATGACAAGAAAATGGCATTCCTCTCGCAACTAATTTCTTCTCTTTCTTTTCAATTTGCAAATGTTCAGACTGACTACCAATTACAGTTACAACCTAAAAAAACAAAGACAAAATTTGAGACTTTCTATTTAATTGATTTGAAGGTACTCCGGAAGTATATGAACCAAGATGGCAGACACCGGAACGTGGTATGTGTACCAGGTTAGGGTCAGGCTATATTTTAATCCAATTTTCCTTATTTTAGTTCTGGGGGACAAGCCAAGTGACTTCCATAGTATTTGTACCTGAAACTATGGCCTAACCCTAACCTGGTACACATACTTCGTTCCGATATGGAGTACCGATTTGAAAATGAAATACATTTCATTCTAATCGAAAATCAACATACATAAACAAGAAAGCACCATTCAAACATAATGACATGAAGACTAAAACAGATCAGTACCGGTATCAAACTTACAGAGTACCGGTAGTCTTTCTGACTTTGTCTAACTACCAGATCGCTGAAATGAGATCACAAAACCGCCACACAATGCACAATTTTTAAACTTTGATGACATCATCACACAAAACTTTAGAGTGAAAAACGAATCCCTGCAGCCCACAGATAATATTAGGAATCAGTAGAAGTTAAACCCTCCTAGTGACAACAACAATCATTGACCACTGAAAATTTCGAAGCAATTGGATCCGCAATTAAAGAGAAAAGCGATTTTTGAACAACAACAACAAAAACACGAATTCATGTCCAGTATGTTTTCTTCAAACTTACTGCATTCACGCTGTCATGGGCAGTTTTCAGATGTAACTCTAGCGATTTATGATCACTGAAGACTTCTGAACAATGTTCGCATCGAGGTTTAGTGAAAGAATCTTGGAGATAATCAGTTCTCTGCAATGAAAGATATACAATACATTTATTTATTTCTTCTCTTCTTGGAAAAAAATTGTACACAAAGATTAGGAAGTTGAAGTCTCACTTGCCTGGTTTGAATAAGTTTGATTTTGCACAACTACAATCTCATCTGTTGATGTTTCTTTACTTTTACATCGCTGGGGAACCAACTTCAGAAAATCCTAAAATTATATTGTAAAATTAAAATCATAATCTACTAGTTGAATGTAAAATCGTACAACTAATCATGATGTAAGTGATTCAATGGTCTTGCTGAACGACAACCATATATGTATTTCTGTAACGCTTTATTGTCAGACTTTTTCCTGAAATTCGGTCCTAATTCGACTGCAGTAAATTCTTAAATTACTTAGGATAGTTATTACTTATCGATTTTAATCGGTAAGTATGTTGATAGGTATTTGTCTGTTTGTCAGTCTGTTAAATGCACGCGATATCTCACGAAAGCGAGATTGAATCTGCTCCAGATTTTGCATGTGCATTCATCATATGTCGGACCAGAAGCCTATTGATTTTGGATGAATTATGTCGTATAATTAGCGAGTTATTAATTAATTAGTGATGGGACCCAAGGTGTCACTATGGAGTAAGAGCGCTGTTTTAGGGAATCCCCTAACTTTCGATCGATGAGTCTTCAGTCTCTGACCGATATTCTCGTCTTTGCTCTTGCTACAGCAAGGAAATACCAAGAGAAATTTCCAAGAGAATTGTTTCATGTGTTGTGTCATTGTGTTCTATTGCTTGGCGTTGTCAGCAGTGTCTGCAGCAATATGGGCGTCAATTTAAAAACAGGCAGTGGGCAAACAAAAAAATGATATTAGTGAATATTTTTACAATTTTGAAATAATAAAATTCTAATTAAAAACAACGTTTACAGTTATATACATTTAATACAATACATGTGTATACATTGTATTGGATTACTCTGTATGCACACGATTCCATGGGTTCAAAAGCATAAAAGGATAAGTATTTAGCCTGCAGAAACGCAAACGTTAGCACAAATTCATTATGTAAAAACAAAACATGAACAAATGTGTAACAACAATATTACAAACCTCACATGTTTTTTGCAAAGCTTCCATCTTCAGATATTTTGATATTTTTAAAATTGCCGGACAATGCTCTTTGCTGAGTAGAATTTCCCCGGTATAAATGAAGTCGAGGATCATAGTGAATGACTCTGGCTTTGGCATGTTGAAAATCTTAACATACATTTAATTGCTAATTAGAAAAATTTTCACCAATGATTAAGTATAATAAAATATTTACCACAGCCTATCTATGAATAGCATAATCTCTTTCCTTGAGGTAGAAAGTATATTGGTAAGATCACGTAAGGTCATAATCTAACTCTTTCAGACAGGCGTTGGATTATGATCTAATGAATAAAACTTACTAACATACTTGCTATTTTGTGTAAAGAGATTAGGCTGTTCATTTTTATCCTTATAATACCATCTCATTCAAGCACCCTAGTGGTAATGGAAACGTACGTCTGAAGTAGAACAGAGAGTAGAGAAAGTAGTAGTAGAAAGACCCTGCAGTTCAACCCATAATACCTTATCCCCCAAAATATTTACCAAATGAATAAAAATTTTAAACTTTCTGTTATTGTAGAATGTACTTAAAATACAAGTTTTATTACTCTCATGATAAAAGAAATGAATCTAAAGATAACTTACTGTAATCCTCCTTGTATCAGATTTCATAATATTTGAAAAATATTCAGATGAGGCGACAAGGACACACTTGTGAACCCAATAGGTATCATGGTTACCTATAAAGAAATGTTATTCAATATGGTTACAATTGCTGCAAATGGGCAGAATCGCTGAAAGATTGTTGTGAAGAAAAATAGTTTAAAACCAATTTGTACTAAAATGAACATGTTGAAACAATCATGAAATCCAATTTTGTTTCTGACTGACTGGCATTCAATTTCAGAATAAAAAGATGATATTCCTGCAATAAATCCCCTTGACTAAAGGTAACCATTGAAGCTAATGCCACGACTGAAAAATTTTAACAAGTACAGTTTCGGGATTTAAATGCTCAATGGCAGAGCAGAAGTTCGCATTTAATTTTTCTCGTCAAATTGTATGTCTAAAAAGCGAAATTGTGATCGATGGAACAGATCATTCAATTCTGAATAATATTGAAAAACAATGAAAAGAATATTTTGACACATCGTGCTAAGCGTTAGGAATACATTTGCCATCGCACCTCTGATTATCCTCCATCATTTCACAGGTTCGAATCCTGCGCGGAATAGTTATGTGCGAGAAGATAGCTGAGCTCTTCATCACTGGATCATGTAACCGCTGGTCGGTAACTGCTTCCTCCATCATCAAGTCCATACACCTGAAACTAATCTCATCCCTGATATGGACTGATAACCAGATAAGAAGCCATTTTTGATATATGATTAAGTTATCTTAATTTGGGCTTTCCTCTCCTTCAGGACAAAACGATTTTCTAATTCTGTCTATTTGTAGTTCCAGTTTCGTACAACAAAATAAAGGAAAAATAACACAATATAAAATATTTTACCGATAACAACTTGCAAATCACAGAACTTGTTTTCGATTCTGTCTTGACTCAATTTATTTATAATTCCCGTCCTATGCCTTGATTTCAACACCATTTCATTTGCGTCCTTCCATACCATACCTGGACCATAAAAAATATTGTATGTATGATCGACTTTAATCTACTTTTTAAATGAAATTGAATGCATCATTTTTTCGAATAAGTGAAATTACCACTACTCAGTACGAGCACTTCGATGGCATCTGATCGTGATTTCAATCTATTTTGTTCAACAAAGGAGTCAATCAAGTCATGTATATCACCAATGTTTTGCTTTGGAGTTTCTACAGTAAGTTCTTGGGTGTCCTCAGTAAGAAGAATACTTTCTGACAAGTCATTCCTGAAAATAATGTTTGATTTGATAATAACTATATGTATGCAAATTTAATATCTAATATAATCAATGTTAATATACAGCATTACTAAAAGTCCCAATTTTTATTATAGATATCAGAACCTTGGGTGTCGCTGTTCGATAACCAGCTTTGGTTGCCTGAGACTTCTTTTCCTTGTAAAACTGTATAACGATCATTTTCTCATTATTTGTGTTCGATTGATTTTTTTTACCAATTGGAAAAAATGAGCTCGACTATCACAACAAAACACCTTGAAAATCTTTCAATAAAACAATTTTACAGCAAGTCTATTCACTTTATACAAGCAATTACTGCTAAGTAAGGGGGCACTATATTTCTGGTAAGAGTCTTTCTGGTTTAGCATTGCCTACATAACTTATTGAACCTTGAGTGAGGCCGTAAGTGTGGAATATTTAACCTGACAAATTAGTTAACACTAACTACTAGGCCACTGCGACCAAACTTTTAAAATAAAAAAAAATCCCTCACCGTTTGATTAAAAAATTCAGCAGTGACAAAACATCACCATCAAATACTTCAAGAAATTTGTCAAATTCTCGACAAACAGATCCAGCTACTTCACCAAAAGATACTTTTGCAGTTTCTCTCATTTTCAAATAATGTCATTAACACCTGACAATTCTAATAATATTTACTTATTTTGCGTCAGCTACAACATTCTAGATTCTATACACTGAAAGTTAAAGTGGACTTATATTCATTGGTAAATAAGAGCATTCTGAGGACTAGCAAAAAGTTTATTTTCACATTAATGTAAGAGGGGGACAGTTTGATAAACAACATTAAAACAGTACATATTATCAAGGTAGTACGATTCAACAACGCCAAAATATCAGAAAAAATCAAATTAAAATATCATCATTGTGACTTGAATAGTTTTGAATAATAAATAAACATTAATTGAGATTGAAAAGATATTTTGTATGCTAAATATTGCTAATTTTATCTTATTTCCCTTTAGTATGAAAAAACACTCCTATGAAAAAACACTGTACTACACACAGTACATTTTAAGTGTGTCAGGATACACCACCAACTAAATTGTATTCAATATAATATTGAATCAACTGGCCAGTGTTATACAACAACGTAGCCTTTATGTAATATCATAATTCAAATACTATTTTTCAAGAACATGATAAAAATATCTTCTACCCAGTTAAAAATTCATCCTTGGCACAAACAGGTTTCAAAATATTCACCAAATATGATCTATGTTATTTTTAATTATTTTACATATCACCGATAATTTCACACAACTGTCTAATTTGTATATCACGATAAAACAAAAAAAATCCCATGCTAAAATTGTTGTAATAGTTAATCGCTGATTTTATGGAGCCATTACAAATGCAGCTAAAATTGCAAGCAAGCAATTTGAATAATGTTCTGATGATACCAAAATGACAAATAATATAATTGGCTATGATGAATTTTGAACTGGGAAAATGGCTAAGATGCAATAAGTTGATAAAAAGCAAATGAATAATATTTAAAGTTGTTTTCATTAAAGAGGTATATTAGCATGTTTTTTCTTTGGATTGCTCTGCCTCTTACTACCAAGTAATTTTAAGTCTCTACAAATGAGAGCTCTTGTCGTGTTTGGTTCAATGATATCATCAACATAACCTGAAAAAAAAATAGATTAACAATCATAATTACTGTTGAGTCTAATAATTATGAGAAGGAATTCCCGCCCCAGCCAGTAACTTTGTTGTTCTTGGGAGGAATTTTGCTTTGTCTCCGCTGCAGCACTACTAATATTATTTCCCAGTACCTATTACCATAATACAGAGTGGTTGCTAGAAAAACAGAAAATTTGAAGGTCAGATGAGATCACGAATAAAATGTGTCCTCATTACTTATCGATTTTATTCGGTAAGTATGTTGATAGGTATTTGTCTGTCTGTCTGTTAGATGCACGCGATATCTCACGAAAGCATTGAATCTGCTCCAGATTTTGCATGTGCATTCATCATATGTCGAATCAGAAGCCTATTGATTTCGGATGAATTATGTCGTCTAATTAGCGAGTTATTAATTAATTAGTGATATGACACAAGGTGTCATTATGGAGTAAGAGCGCTGTTTTGGGGGACCCCCTAACTTTCGATCGATAAGTCTTCGGTCTCTGACCGATATTTTCCTTTCTTTTTTGATACGTTTTTATAGGTGCAATTGGAATGCTAACCGCCAAGTTAACATTAAAGCACTACATGAGCTTGGACTTTTAGGCTAAGACACTGCTCTGAAGTGTACGGACGCGTTTGAGCATCTTTAAGCGGAATATAACATATGCTTTTAAAAAACTTTGTAAAAATTAATAGCTGTTTGACGAATTTTCCCTTTTTTTAGCAACCACCCTGTATATAATTATGCACTCATTATAAACTACCTAAATTCTGCAAAAGCAAGAGTGTGTCTTGCACATAACACTAGCTAAGGATGCATTAAATTAGTTCCAAAATTGGTGAAGAGAGGAATTTAACAACAACTGTTAAGAACCAATGATCTAATCTGTACTCATTCAGCAAAAAGTTCTAGTCTGTCATTACAAATTACGTGTGATATGTGGGGAGTGGGGTAAATCTATAATTTTCAGCCTTCTTCGTTTGAGACTTTGTTCATAACATTGTTCAGAGAGAGATCAAGTTGAACTAAAGACTTGCTTTATCACCACATGTTTGCAGCACAATAATTGTAACTAAAACTGTCTGTAGAAGTAACTATATCACATGCTTTTAACCCCCTTTTTTTAAAAATATTTATCCAAATGCAAATATTTATCCAAAGGCCCGCATATCCATTTTTTTGGCAAGGAAGGTATTGTGCACAGAGTCTCCAATAGTAATAATTTATCACCGTAACAAGATGAATAAACAACTTACATAAACGCAATGCGATTTTTATTTATTTCAAATCTTACCTCTTATTGCAGCAGGAAAAGGATTTGCAAATTTTTCAACGTATTCTTCCTCCCTGTCAGCTTGATCTGGTATTCCTCTGAATATAATCTGCACAGCTCCTTTAGCTCCCATCACAGCGACTTCAGCAGTCGGCCATGCATAATTTACATCTCCTCGCAAGTGTTTCGAAGACATGACATCATATGCTCCACCATAAGCCTGGAATCAATACACAGATGAAGTATAGTTTGTCAAATTAAAACTGTAAACTAAACTAAACTGCACTGAAAAGAAAAACGTTGTACATATTAAATCTTTTATTACTTTTAGTAAGTCACATGGGTAATTTCTATTGATATAACTAGTGATGGTATTCAAAATTTTAAAAACAAATTCTCTTTTGTATCATGCTAAAAACAGATCTCTCATTCCAGAAAATGTATTCATCCCAAGAGTCAAGAACAGGTTTGCTGACTATCACAACATTCTTTGCACAAACACCCCGAATCCTACCGCTGGTAATAATCCATCAATGAAGAAATTCATTCTGAAAAATCCATTATCAGCCTACCTTTCTAGTAATTATGGTTATTTTTGGCACTGTTGCTTCTGCAAACGCATAAAGAAGTTTGGCTCCATGTCTTATAATTCCTCCATATTCCTGAGCAGTACCAGGTAGAAACCCAGGCACATCTACCAATGTTATTATAGGGATGTTGAAGGCATCACAGAATCTAACAAATCTTGCTGCCTTGACTGATGCATTTATATCCAAACAACCTGCAGTAAACAATAATGAACAATAAGGATTAGTTTTCATATTTATCCCATGGTGCGGTTACCAGTCCATGTCGGTCATTGAATTAGTTAGACATTTATTTGTTTTATGGACTGGATAGTGCAGGAAGCGGTCAAGCAATCCTCTCACACATAATTATCCTCCACAGGATTCGAACCTTCGTACCCACACAGGATAATCAGAGGTGCGATGACGAGCGTGTTTATCACAGTTAGCACAATACCAGTTGTCAGTTGTGATTATGAACAAAACTATATCTCAGAATCGATATCGCATGAGCATCAAATGAATAACTTTACCTGATGCAACTTTGGGTTGATTACCAACAAATCCAACAGTTTGTCCATCCATTCTACTGAACCCAATGACAATATTTTTGGCATAATTTGGCATCACTTCCCAGAACTTGTTATTGTCTGATAACTGGGGTTAAAAAATATAAATAGGCTACTATGTTTGAATTCTTATTAAGACAGTGTAAAAGTAAAATACTAAAAATATATTACAAATAAGCAATGGTTGTATGAAAAATGGTGAAGAATTACAATATAACAATTATTTATGTTATGCAAAACTTAATATTCCACTCACCATAATTAGTTTGAATAATAAAATACCACAAAAAATAACCAAAAACTTACAGCAGAAATAACGTCCAACATATTATATGCTTTCGTACTTTCAATAGGAACGAGATCATCCAGTATAGGACATAACCGGTCAGCAGGATCGTCATTTCTTAACATAGGAGATGAGTCAAGATTGCTGAGTGGTAAATAACTATAAAATTCTCTCAATTGTAACAAGGCATCTATGTCATTTTCAAAGGCTTTGTGCGCAACTCCTGATACTGTTGTGTGAGTTTTGGCTCCACCTAATTCCTCTTGTGTAACATCCTCATTTGTGACAGACTACAAAAAAATTGATTTCCTAGATTAGATATACAGTATTTATTGATTTGTCAAGCATATAAATACAGAAAATATACACAATGTTTTTGGTAAAGACTGAAGGGAGCGATATGACAATACAGTCATCCAAACTCAGATCGCTCATATTTACTATTATGCGTAGGATTCACAGTTATTGAATGACTATATATGTTAAAAGACTAATTATTAGAGTATTGACCACTTTTATCACCAAAACATTATAGAAATATTAAAATGAACTAATGATTGAAGCAATGGATTTACTATATTGGTGCATGTATACAGGTCGATGCACGTTTCAATTCATAACAAATATTCAAGTGTATCCACCAAGGAAATAGTCGAAATTCACAGTTATCAAAATAATTTTGGCCTCATTTCATTTATATATCTAGTGTGAGTATCTACGAATGATTTTATTATAGTTCTATGAGAAAATAGCATCAGAGCAAAAATCAAATCAAAATAATAATAAACAAGTAAATTTACCTTGACAACATCAGGTCCAGTAATAAATAAATAAGACGTGTCTTTCACCATGAAAGTAAAGTCAGTTAGTGCAGGAGAATACACTGCACCACCGGCACACGGACCCATGATCAATGATATTTGCGGTACAACACCAGATGCCATGACGTTTCGCTAGATGATGTAAAATACAACTTAAATTAAATAAATATATGAAAACTATGTTATTTTCCTATTCATCAGACAATCAATGAGTCAACATTGTGATATTATTCCTCACTAGTCGAATCTTCGAACTTCTTCAATCTCACACAGATTCATTGATAACTCATGCTATTGATTGAATTTTTGCAAGACTCACTAATTATTCTACAAAGCTTTTATGCTGGTAGATCCGTATGCATAAAATGAAAGGATGTTGTAGCAAGAGTGAAGATAACTATTCTAAGTGATACCCGAAAGACTCTTTATTTCACATATAAATTGCAAAAGGGGTTATTTCTATCGATTCAATTTTTGAATGTATAAGCTAGTGCGTAATCAAAGAAATTTTGATGCAAACAAACTCAAAATAAGAATACTACAAACCTGAAATATATCTGCATAACCAGCAAGTGATTCTACGCCTTCTTGGATTCGAGCTCCACCAGAATCATTCAGTCCTATGACTGGAGCACCAACAAGCATAGCTTGGTCCATTATCTTGAAAATTTCAAATTTACATCCGGATTCTCATGTTTATGTTAAAAATAAACCATAAATACCGAGATTTAAAGAATAAAAATAAGTAAGAATAGCCTATATTATTGCTTTGAGAATGACAGTATTTAACATACCAATAACTGCATATATTTGAATGTGATTACCTTTCACATTTGAAAAAAATCCTGTTCAACATTCATAATATATGTACTTTTAGTGAATGTTTGACTCATACCTTACAAATTTTCTGAGCGTGGGCAGATGACAGAGATCCACCAAATACAGTGAAATCTTGTGAAAACACAAATGCTTGTCTTCCATGAATTAATCCATGTCCAGTTACAACAGAATCTCCTGGAAACTGAAACAAAAAGATATTACAATAGAAACTATGTGGATTACTATGACCTACAGTCATTATTCATTTTGTTTGGTGTACTAATTATTAACCTTTATAAGCAAGATATGATGTGCAAAAACACATCGATAAATATTTGCTTGAGAGCGAAGTGAATAAAAGATATACAAGATAGGCTTTTTATCCCTGGCATAAGAAAGATAAGCTTAGATAATGAGTCTTAAAAATTGAAAAAAAACCTTATTAGCATCAGCATCCATTCCAAAGTCTGTACATCGTTGTTCAACAAACATGTCATATTCAATGAATGTTCCTTGATCAAGTAGAAGATCAATACGCTCTCTCGCGGTCAATTTGCCCTGAAAAATTCAAGTAATTTAGATGTGATAGAGCAGGGGCGGAAAACCTGTATTCGGCTAAAATCGACTGAATTTTTCGAAATATCTTCCGATCGATAATGAATTTGTGGCTTTCGACAGGTAATGTTTTTGTTTTTATATAGGTTGGACACAAAAATATTTTAGGCATGTCGTTATGTCCATTCATCATCAGATGCAATCGACTACTAGAGACGTGGCGATCGATGAGCCGATCACAATCGACATGTTGGCCACCTCTTTGATAGAGGAATAGCAAACTGGGAGATATAGCCTAAAAAGTATTGCTTTGGTTGTTTTGCTCAGGATTGTACATTTGCAATAAAATATACAGTCATCACAGCTGAAATGTCCTTTTATAATCACAAACAGTAAACGAGAATGTCGGTCAGAGACCGAAGACTTATCGCTCGAAAGTTAGGGTATCCCCCAAAACAGCGCTCTTACTCCATAGTGACAATTTGTGTCCCACCACTAATTAATTTATAACTCACTAATTATACGACATAATTCATTCAAAATGAATAGGCTTCTGGTCCGACATATGATAAATGTAATGCAAAATCTGGAGCAGATTCAATCTCGCTTTCGTGAGATATCGCGTGCATCTAACAGACAGACAAACAGACAAATACCTATCAACACACTTACCGATTAAAATCGATAAGTAATGAAGACTTTAGTAAAAGATTTCTGGTAATTCAATTTTAGATATAAACCCTTCTAAGACTTGAATCAGAATATATTAAAGTAAATATTATTGTTTGCAACTTGCTTAAATGTGTCACCTAAAACTAAAAACGACAGAAAAATGTTATTTTTACAAACTACTTGAGATAAACAATCCTGGTTCCCCGCGACTTCCCTTCCCCAGTAAAAATGTGTGTTTAATTCTATATTTTGTTTGTTATTTTTTACTGGATGGAAAAAATAAACTTGACTATAACTGGCCTATATGTATATGACTCATGAGAGTCAGAGGTTATGTAATTAAGTTTACTATTCTACCTTCTTATGTTGTGCTTCCATACGATATTGTCCACCACCTTGAAGAGCCTTTTTCCTTTTCTCTTCAATCCGCTCATGAACTGATAATTGAGTGCTTGTGCGATGGTGACTTAAAAATCCCATTGCTTGTGCATATTTGCCAGAACGTCCAACAGAGTTTATTCCATTAAAATTCGACCTCAATAACAAACTTCCCAACGTCTTCACTTTACAAAGGTTGGCCATAACTTTAGTGTATCAGTAATATCAATGAACAGGATAGATGATGGCGCAAAACAACGAAGTCCCAAATCTGTAAATTGCTTGTATGAACAACTTTTTGGATTTCGACTATGTGGCACATGTGGTGGCAGCATTAAAACGTCACTGGCACAACCGTGATGCCACGTCAATCATAGGCTGAAGGACACTCACGCCTGAATGGTTTCATGCTTAATTGTATGTGTGTTTGGGAATTTGGAAACATGTTCTGATTGTTGCCAGAGAAAGAGAGATAGAGATTGATTGTCACAAAAACAAAGTCAACACTATTTATTCATTAAGAAAAATTATTTAAACAATAATACTGTAATAACCGTGAGTTAAGATCGTTTTGTGCAGGTCAGTGTTCTGGACCAATAAAAAATATAAAAATTACCGTATTTTGTTTTGCTATTGCTGTATTGTAAAGTGAAAATACTATGGTAACATTTCTGCATTTTGGGCCGGAATTCTTAATGCTAATATTGTCTCTGACTGTCCGTATTGTTAAGTTAAATTCATAAAGGTGATTAAAAAGGACTTGTACTTCCAGAAATTCTCTTCGACCTTCATAATTCTCACAGTTCCCATTTATATTAATTCAAAATTGTATTTTTCTTCTTCAGCTTTGGAATATGGTGACAAAGTTATGAGATAAATTGAGACTTAGTCTATAAACTATATATGTATTTTGAGTTCAGCAGGAGTTGTTTATTCCTGGACTAAAACGGGTATTTAATTTTACTTCCTTGAAGCTACAAGATGCGTTTGGTCTTTAATGTTCTCGGAAGGCGATTGCAGCAGAAAGGGCTCTCTACATTATATTGTGGATCAAAATTGAAGGTAATCTAAGGTTATATAAGGATATAGTAATGGCCATGCTTTGATTTTTATAGCTAGAATTTAGGAGTTTTTAGGTGGGGCTTGAGATTGACATGTGCAAAAATGGTTATGCTACGAATTTAGGACTCAGCATTCAAACTTATAAAAATGAAAACACATTTAATTTTTCTTATCACAATATTTCTATGTCAATTTATTATTAGTAGGCCTATCTGATATATATTTTGTTATTTCAAGCTTTCAGCTCTTTCATTGCAGCATGCAAAACTTTTTGCAACGACTTCAGTTAATCATGATGAATTTTTACGAAAAATGCGAAACATCGGAATTGCTGCTCATATTGACTCAGGAAAAACTACAGTTACAGAGCGTCTTTTGTTTTACACTGGAAAAATCAGCAAAATGCATGAGGTGAGAAAATAGTGAAAATATTGTCAATTTTCATCGCATTGAGTACATGAATCTACACAAACAGCTTAGCTATTTCCTAATCGGACATAGCTGACATGGACTGGTAACAGAAAACAGGAATAATATTGACTTATTTGTTTCTGGGTTAGATATGAAAGGCATATCCTTTCATATATTACATATTCATATAAGTATGGTAGTATGATTATCTAAGATAGCATTTAAAATCGTTTTTTATATGTAGTATTTTCAGTATAGAGCTGTGCATGAAACCTATCGGAGCTACACTTATGTCCTTGAAAAATTCCATTCATTTGTTGTTTTGCTTTGTGTTTTTGTAGTTTAATTAACTCATTTTCTAAATTTGATGAAGTTTTCTCGTGTATCTATGTATCAAATAAACACAGATGCCTATTTTATTATTTCGTTTGATCTGTTTCGTACATCTATGCAATATATTTTGACTTAGATGTCTTCTCGTAATTTATAATACTTTTTTGTTTCAAGATCTTTCAAAGTTTGATAAAGTTTGATTCTCCTCATTCCATAGTCTTTTTGATTTATCAATTAATTGATTAATTCCGGGGGTTTGTCCACTCTTCAGCAATACTTTTTTCTGAAAGTTTTGTTTTGGAGAATGTAACATTTGATATTGTCTTGTAGGTGAAGGGAAAAGACAAAGTTGGTGCGACAATGGATTCAATGGAATTGGAGAGACAAAGAGGAATTACCATTCAGTCAGCAGCAACACACATCACATGGAAAGATCATCCTATTAATATCATTGATACCCCTGGTCATGTGGATTTCACTGTTGAAGTTGAAAGAGCATTACGTGTACTGGATGGTGCAGTTAGTATATTTTCTTATTATTTTTCTGCATTTTTTAGTGCATCTTAATAAAGTTATAGGAATGATCTGCTTAAGAATTGTGGTTGATGATATTGATGACTCTTTAACGGTTGTATTGCTACCACCCAGTGATATATCGAAAACTTCATGTTCAGTCATTTAAATATTATATATATATATGTAAAATGTGCGTTTTTTGGGTTTGACATCCGAGCCCTAAAATTGATTTAGAATGTTGTGTAGGTATTGTTATATTATATTCCAAACTCAAACTCAGGATCTTATTTTATTTATCTGATCTGATTATTTTTAAGGTTCTTGTTATCTGTGCTGTTGGTGGTGTTCAGAGTCAAACATATACAGTATATCGACAGATGCAGAGATACAATGTTCCTTGCATTGCATTTATTAATAAACTTGATAGAATGGGAGCAAATCCTCACAGATGCCTTATGCAACTAAGGTCTGTTTTTTGAGTGTTATTATGAGTCTTTATATCCTTTTTTTCTTGTGATGCTCTTTCACGACTTTTGCTCCAAACAGGGCCCTGTACAAGCAGCCACAGATATTCACTTATATGTAAGGAGCTTCTATCATTTTGGACGTTTCTAAATCTGTCAGATTTAACATTGCCCACTCCATTTATTACACCCTGGTTGAGGTAGGGGTCATGAGAATTTAACCCGAAATTTGCTATGCCAACAGAGTCAAGTCTAACGCTTCAAATGCTAGGCCAACATCCTTTTAGGACTTAATATATTTTGATCATTGAATACCGGTAAGTACAAATTATGACTTGAGTCTCGGCTATCCTGCCTTCATAGGTTATCCATACATTCTATCTACATGTTAGATTTTGGTCAATGATATTTCAGAGACAAACTTGGACACAATGCAGCCTTTATGCAAATTCCAGTTGGTCTTGAGTCAGAATCGACTGGGATAGTTGATGTTATATCAAGGAAAGCTCTGTATTTTGAAGGAGAATCAGGAGAAAATATTGTTGAGAAATCAATTCCTGACAATTTAGTTGATATAACAGAAGAAAAAAGAAATGAATTAATAGGTTGGCATTTGCTTCATGTTTTGGGACCTATAAATCATTTTATGCCTTGTCTTACAAAGGAAGATTTTGTCAGTGACAATGCACTTATTACTTATCGATTTTAATCGGTAAGTATGTTGATAAATATTTGTCTGTTTGTTTGTCTGTTAGATGCACGCGATATCTCACGAAAGAAAGATTGAATCTGCTCCAGATTTTGCATGTGCATTTGTCATATGTCGTACCAGAAGCCTATAGATTTTGGATGAATTATATAGTATAATTAGCGAGTTATTAATTGATTAGTGGTGGGACCAAGGTGTCACTATAGAGTAAGAGCACTGTTTTGGGGGATCCCCTAACTTTCGATTGATAAGTCTTCAGTCTCTGACCCATATTCTCATATTTTTGTATTATTTTGTTTTTGCAATGTGAAATAAAATTATTTCTCTGGATTCATTCCATCGTGGATTTCTATTGCATGAGTTGAGCTGGATTTTTGTTAACTTGAGCATTTTTTCAATGAGGTTATTAATTATTGCTGAAATGCAAGGGACTGTATTTTGAAGTTAAATTGACCATCGTGTTAGACTCTTTTATTTTGTTTGCAGGTATTTTGGCAGCTAAAATGACATTGCAAAGTTTAATAAGAAATTCAATTTTTTCAGAATGTGTTAGCAACGTTGATGATGAGTTAGCGGAAATGTTTCTTGTTGATAAACAGCCTACAGATGAACAACTTTATGTATGTAATCGAATGCATTTATTTGAATATTCACATTTATCGGGAAGATAAATTGACTGTATTCTGTTTAACCTGTTTGTCCTAGAATAGACGTAGTCCCATGTCAATGCTATATATGCACTAATAAAACAAACGCAATACACATACAGTGAGTTTAGGAATGCTTCAATCAAAACTTTAAATATGGTTTGAAAATTGACAAAAAAAATGTTCTGCTACAGATGGAAAGCTAATAACAAATGTCAGCTCACCTCATCAACTTGTCAGGTATATATTATTTTTCAAACTGAGAAAAGTGGAAATAATTTGTAGTATGATTTTATATTTCCTTGTAACTTTGTTTTATTCACCATCCATATCAATATTACGTAAATCCTTATATAATTTTCTTCAGGATGCTATTCGGAGAGCTACAGTTGCCAGAAAATTCACTCCAGTATTTATGGGAACTGCGCTTAAGAATAAAGGAGTTCAGCCTGTGTTAGATGCCATTGTCAAATATCTTCCTGATCCTTCAGAAGTAAAGAATTATGCGTTAGATAATTCAAAGCAAGATGAGTAAGTTTACATTGACTGGATTCAATTTGTTTAGTTACTCAGGGTGGAATGCGGAGCAGTTTTGATTATCAGTTTCTAAATAAGGGGAATTTGTATTTACAGTGCGTTCAATTCAATTTGGATACTTTTGCAACGTCCATATATTGTTGTTTGTAGGCTAAGAGGTTTTTCCACAAACGAAAAATTGCCCCATATTAGCGTAAAAATGGATGTACAAATTCCTCAGTTGTGTGACGGTTTCCATCAGTAATTTATTGAGTAGGTAATTGTTTAATAAGACCGTCTGAAGCAGTGGTCGGCAACCACCGTGCCGCGGCCCATCGCCGGTCCGTGGAAAGGTGACACAAAAGCGGACAAGGCCCTAATAAAACCTCTATAGTTCAACCACTTACCCTACAAATAAAAAACAGCACCCAACAGCTAACCAGACAAACACAACGCATTTGAGCAGCATGTCGGACTCCACAATCAATTCCCATGTCATTATGTCGCAATAATGCTGGGTCAATTGTTTCCTCTGCGCCAGGGTAAGAAAGTCTCACACCAGTTCGAATAAGATCTCTCGAACAAAATGATTCTCTCTAAGAATGTGACTACTCCACTACTGACTCGAAGCTAACCATCAATAAAGTCAAACATCAATCAATACCCAGACTAGAGACAGAGGGTTTACAGGCATTGTTACCTTTCCCAACATCCTATTAATGTGAGGCCTGGTTTTCAATATTGATAGTTACAAAAACGAAATATCAAAGTAGGCTGGATGAAAGAAACACGATATGTGTGTCGTTGTTGACCATATCTCCAATATGAGAACAGTTAATCGCCAGCCAACAAGTACATATCTCTTAATAAATAGGATCACTTTGGTTTTTTAGTATATTGTCATCATAAGTGTCCTAATGCATATAATTTATTGCATGAGCTTAGTTTGTTTGTATAAAAGTGGTCCGCCAAAATTTTCGCCAGGCTTTACCGGTTCGTCACCTAAAAAAGATTGCCGACCACTGATCTAAAGGTGTTGTTAGTGCATTAACTTATGACATAAAAGCCAGTTTAATTTATATTCAGTATAACTAGAATTTTTTTGTTTTTTTGATGTTGTTCATGTTGCATAATTTTATTTCAGAGAAGGAAAGGGGGAAAGGTTACTGATGAATTATGAAAGAAGTTTCGAAAATCCTGCTGTTGCCCTTGCATTTAAACTTGAGGTTGGGCCATTTTAATTGTTTTAATTGTTCACTCTCAAGATGTGCAAGTTATTCTATGTTTGACATATTATGTTGGGAAAAATATTCACTGAAAAATGTACTTTATGTCTTATTTTTTAATTACAGCAAAGCAATTTTGGGCAACTAACATATCTCAGAATATATCAAGGAGGATTAGAAAGAGGCGATTTTATCTACAACACTCGAACTGGTAAAAAATCAAGAGCATCAAGATTGGTGCAAATGCATGCAGATAAAATGGAGGTTTGTGTGTTTCATTTTACTTCATGTTCAATGATATCAGAAATGTAATAATAATGTGATATATCAACAATTTACATTGTTTTATTTTCTTTACTAAACAGTAGCTATTTACATATTGTGAAATATCAGTGGCTACTCATATAACACCTTGTTCGCACCGAGATGCACATGCACAAGTAAACATCCTATTAAAAATATCCTTTGTTTTATTCAATCTCAGGATCCCATTGAAATATTTTTTTATTTGATCTTATATTAAAGTATAACTATGGAGGTCTCAATTACTGGTAATAGATTTTGAACCAATGTAATATAATTTTGTTCGGGTAGTTGGATTGCCATCGCTAAATGGCCCACACAGCAGAAAGAGTTCATGGTTTGGCGCATTGTGCTAAGCGTTAGGAATATGCTTGCCTAGCTCTGTGTTCGCTGGTTTGAATCCTGTTGCGGGTAATGATGTGTGAAAGAAGTTCTGGACTTCTCGTCATCCTATGGTGGTTCACATAAGCGCTGGTTGTCTACGTAGTATTCCACCATCAAGTCCATGCATCTGAACCAAACAACTGGCTAACTAATCCCATACCCAGCATTGACTGGTATTCGGACGTAGGGCCAGGGTAAGCCAAATGATTATGCTGCTGTATCGGCTTTCCTCTCCCCTCTGAATAATTATGAAAAGCCTATCGTATCCTATATATCTGGCAAGCTATTCTCATATATGACCTATACTGGTAACTGGCATCTTATCAATCCATCTACTTTAACATTTTTCAACAACTCTTTCAGGATGTGAATGAAGTGTTTGCCGGAGATATTTGTGCATTATTTGGAGTTGACTGTGCTAGTGGTGATACTTTTGTAAAGGACAAGAAATATCAGGTTTCCATGGTATGTATATATGTATTTTTTTTTCCTTTTTGTAATAACCTTATCTTAAAATTATGCGATTCCAATGCGTTTTTTTTTAAATATGAAGGATTTAGAGTAATTTTAAAGTAGATTGATTTCTATATCAGTTGTCAGGAATGTTGGTGGTGCTTTTTTCATAGTTTAAAAATGTGTTTTTTATTTACAAAGCTTTTTTAAAACTGTTGTATTTGTTTGTATATTTTGAACCTTGCAGGATTTCAAGAGCTTTTGAACTAGATTAATTTCAGTGTCAATGATTACAGTTTGTTGAATATGTTCATGTTGCTCTTTATCATAGTTTAAAACGTGTTTTGCTGCTTGTTGTTTGAAATGAGGTATTTTATAATCCCAATCACTTGTATTAAAACACCATGTCTACATTCATCTTGTCTCGTATACATTAACCTCATTTATCATAACACTTTGCTTCAATTTTCCCTCTATTGTAGGAGTCAATTCATGTTCCTGAACCAGTAGTGTCAATGTCATTGAAATTAGATGCAAGAGATGATAGCGGGAAGTTGAGTAAAGCTTTAAACAGATTCACTAAAGAAGATCCAACCTTCACTGTTTTTTGGGATCAAGAAGCAAGAGAGGTTTGTTGCCACATTATACCAATATTTATTATTTCTGTTTTAGTTATGAAAAGTTCAGGGCTGCATTTCAATATGTTTCGCGTATGAATGAACATATTCATCACTTAACAGCTTCTCAGTTTTAAGAGCGTCACTTACACCAGTGGTTCCCAATGTGATGTTTAATACGTCTCATTCGGTGCCAAAGTTTCCCACCCTTGCTATGTTTTCGCGGTATGGCCAATTATATCTCATACAATTTCTATACGCATGACTATGACTTGCATATATTTTCGACATAATTCTGCTCAACACCTATCACTTCATTCCTGATTTTCTTCTGTTTAGAGAGTGGTATCAGGAATGGGAGAACTTCATCTAGAAATCTACGCTCAAAGAATTACAAACGAATACAATCTTCCTGTTACGCTTGGAAAACCAACTGTGGCATTTAGAGAAACAATTGTTCAACCTGTAGAGTGAGTTAACTAAATTTGGTGTGATGATGGTTAGAAAGTTATGTTAGAAGCATGTGAAATACCGATGTTAGATGATTAATACTTCTACACAAGGGTATCTCAATCATTATAAAGGTTATTGAACATGGCTTGTCATAACTTCCGTAGTATGTGTACCAGGTTAGGGTTAGGCCATAATTATATTCCGATTTTCCTTATTTTAGTTCTATTACGAGTTCGGACACTTTCTGTGTTAGCCGAGTGAAGATACATAGGTTTCAGTCCCTTCAGCCCCTAATCGTAGCTAATATGTGACATATGCTCTTGTATCAAACACTTGGCATTGGAAAACTACTTTTTTTTTGGAAGGTTCACACTCATGGGTGAATAAAAGACTATTATCCTCTGAATAATTAGGGAGTTATCCACTTTCCTTTCCCACAAGATAATCATGTGAATTCGATCTGTGCTTCCCTTATCTCATACTTTACATGGGCTGTTGTGGTTAACAAATGATAAAACTGCACAAGCATTTAAAACATTAACATAGATAAAATTCTGACTAAAAGGCTAGGGTGGATGGAGATTACAAGTCTCCATTTAATGCTATTTTGCTTTACGTGCCGCCTCATGTGTTTTTTGCTGCAAGACAATACTTGCTCGTTTCGCCAGTTCACTATTCTCCAAATGAAACAAATACATTTTGTTATTCTAGTTTATTAATAAAAATTGGCTAATAATGCTGCTATGAAATAAGGGCACAAAAAGAATAATGTGAGTAGCACTAGCAGGACAGAAAATTAGGTACTCCCCTAGTGTGTGTACCAGGTTAGGGTTAGGCCCCAATTTCATTTCGATTTTTCTCATTTTCGTTCTATTATGAGTGCGGGGACTGTTGGATGTAAACACAACTTGATGTAAAATAGGCGAACAAAATTAGTTACCTCAATATTGGTACACACACTTCTGGAGCGCCGAAAGTTATGCTGGCTGTACTATTTCAATGCTTAAAATGAAAAAGTATCTAAAATACTTTCCTAAAATCGAAGATGAGAATGTAATTTAACAATGACTTGTTTACGACATCTTTGCCTAACTAATGATGCCAGTTCAGTTAAATTGATGACAGCAAAATAAATTGTGATATATGTTTTGAAGCATTGGGTGACTGACTGGAAGATATGCGCTAATTATGATGTTGCTTTATTACATTTTTGTCTCACTGCAGCAGTTCTTCTCCCGCAACGTCCTGTTAAAACATGATTATGTTTATTGACATTTCTAATATGCAGGTCTTAATTTTTATTTATTATACTTGTTGCATGCTCTAATAGAATAAAGCTGATGGGATGAACTATCTCTCGGCAAGTCAAAATGTATGAATGCAATGGATATGTGTTAGATGTATAGATTTTTATCCTGGCGCATTACTGCCGGAACATACCTTGTCAAAGCCATTTAATGGTGTTGGCTCACTGTATGAATCACCGCTTGTCTGCGTTGGAAGCAAAATATAATATTTTAGTTTTGGTTTTTGGGGAATCCATTTTTGCAATTAACAACATAATGCTATCAAAAAATTATACTCACATCTGCTTCTTCGTTGAGAATCGGCGCTGGACGAAATCCCGATCCTTCTGGTTCCGTTGGTCTGTCCCCTCTACCTCCTTCGTCTATGTCAAAATCCTAGGACAAATTTTAAAAATAAGTAGTACATGTTAGTAATTTTATTTTTATTTTTGTATACTTGTCATCTTCACTGCGTCATAGAGTCACTCTAGCGCAGTAGTTCTCAAAGTGCACTCCGCGGTCGCTTAGCTTTAGGGGGCCGCGAGACAAGTTCGACTGTGGCACAGAAGCACTACTTATGATGTCATGCTAGTGCAGAGTTTCTCATAATTACGCACTCCCCTTCGAAGACATTATTACGTGACATATCGAATGTTCTGGAAAGTTCCGAACTTCAATTGCTGAAGCATATGCAAGGGTGCAGTCACGCTGGCGGAAACAATCGCAAATGCAATCGCACGCGTTATTAGCGACTTTTTCAGTCTTCCAAAATTTTCAAAAGGGGGGGGGGGAATTCCAAAACAGAATGGCAGAGTGACATGATTTGAGAGTTGCATTGCCCCAAACTGAACCCAAGATAGAAGAACTAGTGGAAGCCAAGCAGGCGCACCCACCCATCTATCTCATTGAACTAATGTCATGCGATGAATGAAGGCTTGATGTACCGTGTAAGCATTCAATTCTTTAGTGGATCGCGAGTCATCAGATAATTTATAAGGGGACCGTTATGCATAATTTTTTAAGTTTAATAACCACTGCTCTGGCGAGATTGCCATTCTGGTGATGGGGTTGCAATTTTTCTTCGTTTGGCAGTTGTTTTGATTTAACGTACGCAATACAACAGCAAACAAGCTTTTACACTTCTCTACAATAATTAATATTAGTGTTGATTAATGATTTCGCTCATGCTCTCCAGGCCGCAGTCGCTGTTATCAGTTGTGGCCGATTAGAGATGTAAAATATCCACCTCAAGAAGAAGATACGTCAAGTGTTTCAGCTCAGTTTCATTTATAAAAGCTTTGTTGTTCTTAGTGAGAATTATGGGATTTTCATTGTCTGGAGTTTTTGCTTAGTTGCGATAATGCTAAGCTTTTCCTATTTGGAAGGATTTGGATCATTACGAACTAAATATTTGTTGCTATTGCATGTCAACGGAAAATTGAGAAAACAAATTGGCGATTTACCGCTTGATTCGCACCTATTGCGGTAATCCGTAATTTCTTTTGTATTTCGTCAAACGATGCATTTGAAATTTTGTTTGCATGGTTGAAATATATTTTATGGAATGACCGGACCCTGGTTTCTTTAAATTTTGTGTACGGACCTTCAGTAAAAATATTTATCCCGAAGCAAACAATGACCGATAAGATATTCAAATGGCGTATGACGGCCTCTAGTACGGTTACAAGTCCATGCCGTGTATCGGATAAATTAGATAGTTTTTTGTTTTAGATGCACGGGCTTGTCTGCAATTTGCCGAAATTACATACGCTATGCGCGTACTCAAATTAAGGGAATCTGCAATGTTACTATTTCTTTTTTGTGTTCATTTTCGTATTGCCAGGGAGTGACTATTGTTTTACTTTGTTTTACATTTACCTGAGGGAAAGTGACGATGGGCAAAGTAGTCGTTGTAGGTCCTTCTGTTGTTTCTTCAGTTCTAGGTTTTGTTGGACGTCTGCTTGGTGTAGGTCTATGTGGTAGTCTACTCGCAGGGACTTCTACTCCGCTGCTCATTGTGAAGTCTTTGCATCGTATGTGAATATTGTAGGCAGAACGTCCGGGTTGTGTCCAACCCGATATATGGCATGATCTCTCCGGGCGCTGTAAAGGATAAGGAAAAGTCTTTATTATTAACCAGTAAGACGACGCAATATATGGCGTGCCGAGACTTCTCGTCCGGTTCCATGTCGACTAATGGATCAGTTAGCCAGTTATTTGTTTCAAAATCGTGGACGTGATGGTTGAGAGCCCTAACCGATCAGAGGTTATGTAAACCACCCTACGACAGCGACGAGTCCAGCAATACTCTCGCATATAATTGTCCCCAACAGAACTCGAACCCACGCAGTATGATGAGAGGTGCGATGGCAAGCCTATTCCTAACGCTTGGTATACGATGAGTACAGCCGCGCTGTATAATGTAAGTTGAGCAGTTTAATAGTAGCACAACGGTTTTTGTCAAATGTAATGTGTTACTTAGCATTATAAGTTCGGACTTACATCTCGTTCAACTCCACACTCGCAATTCCCAGACCTGCATTCTGGCGCCAATACCAAGTTTGCTGTTGCCCTCATGTGATCGAAGACGCACACTCCGTTTGTGCATTTTTTACATCGCCGTACCTGTCGAAGTTGAAAGAAAATGTCAAAACTGATATGACTGCTACAGACGCTTGTTTTGAAGATAGGAGCATAAAACCGATGAAAAAATGAATGTGCTCTTTCTAACTTCTGCGCGCGATGAAAATTACGGGCATTTTGACGAGGTATAAAATTTAGGACAATATTAAGACAATTAATGTTATTCTCTTGATAATGCAATGGTTTATTAGACGAGTTATACGGCCTATTAAATAATACTTTCGTCTAGAGAATTTTTCTATCTCTCCTGCTTACGCAATCGCTTACTACACGGGTTATAAATCTTATTGAATAATATAAATAATACTTTTGGTTTGGATGATTCCTATATTTATCCTGGTAATGCAATCGTTTATTACACGAGTTATACGGCTTAATAATACTTTTGTTCAGAGAATTCCTATATTTCTTCTGATAATATAATCCCTTAAAGTCATACGGCTTATTGAATAACCCTTCTGTTTAGAGAATACTTATATTCTTCCGATAATGCAAAATCGATTAATATAAATATTACTTTTGGCTTGGTGAATTCCTATATTCCCCCCTTATGATGCAATTCCCTATTACTCGATTTATACATATTAAATTAAACATTGCATATATGGGTTTTATTTTTGTACAATAAGACGCATCGTTCTGGTGGTCAATGTTTTTGACGTTTTGCTATTTCGACAACGTTGATTGATTATGGAGACGAACAATAGTCTACAGTGAAAGTGTTGTTTGGGGGGAATTAACGCCACGAGTTAATGATTTATTGTCTTGGTTTTCGTTTTGCACCAAAGTTCGCATCGTTTTCCCAATGTCCCAGGATACTATACCGCATACCAATTTATTCCTGTTATTCCAGGTTGGAGCTGCCAAACCAATATCGATGTCATCTGCGTGATAATTCTTTATTATCTCCCATACGTTTTATGTTTTTCTCAGCCGTACATGATAATATATATTTCTATACGTGAATAAATTGGTTTGATGTAATACATAAGGGGTGGGCCATCCGCAAAAAAGCCATTATTTGGGAAGGATTTAAATCTAATCGTCTTTGGTACGGTTAAGCCTAATATCCATAACCTAATATTTCACGATTGGGAAAATTGATTCTGCAAACATGTCTTGACCGCAAATTTACTCATTTCCCTAGGTCGTCACCAGTTCGCGTCGTTTGAGTGTTTTAATTTATTTGGTACCGGTAATTGTTATCGCGCATTGGGCAAAATGTACAAATATATATAAGCCTATTGAATTTTTGATGTCGCTATATTGATACCACTTGTATAGTATTTTATATCACTTTTAGAGTACTTGCGTACGGTAGTTATAGCTCTGTATGTTTTGAATGTTGCATTATTTTATCGAACTGAAACTTTGATTAAAAAAATAGATGAATAGATGTTTGATTTATAAACTTACCCCTGGCCTTGCTATTCTCTTGATCGCAAGAATGTCTCTACCGTCTCGTTCATTTATTCTCGCTAAGCTTTCCCGTGCCACAGACATTATATCAACATGACGAATGGTGGGGCATGAAATGCGCCGAGAGTGCGTATTTCTCCTGTTGAATATGAGAAGCAAGAATGTCTTTTACATGTGCAAGCATATGTAATTATGACTCATTCATTAATTTCGTAAACAATTGATATCATTTCTTTAATATATTTTTTAAGCCGTGGTTTCATTTCTTTTAAGCCGTGGTTTCAATTGGGATCTGTGGCACCCTAGGGTCCCGCCGTTACACTCCACCTTTCAAATCTGAGACACCAGGTTAGGGTTTGGCCACAATTTCAGTACAAATACTACTGGAGTCACTTGGCTAGTCCCCGAACTCGTAATAGAAGTAAAATAAGGAAAATTGGAATCAAATTATGGCCTAACCCTAACCTGGTACACATACTACGTTCCGGTGTCCGCCATCTTGGTTCACATACTTCGGGAGTACCCTAATTAATATTTAAATATCTTATACACAAGAATAATACAGACAGGCTCCTACCTGGCAGTTTCATATATCGATCTCGCTGGCAAGTACAGTGGTCCTTTTCTTCCGATAGAACGAGCCGGAGATATTTTGAGTCCTTGCGTCATGGACGGTTGAAGTTTTCCCGCAAATTTTCTGTATCGCATTCCGACGGGCGGCTGACGACGAATTCTACCAGCGGGTACAAAGTGACTGGAAATAGATAAAAAAAAAATAGTAGGAGTTCGTGCCGATGTCATCCATCTTTGAATCGAATATTGAATGTAAACGTTTGCAATGCAATCCTTATAAATCTTTTTACAGAAAATCTTCACTATATTTTGTACCACGTATATATTCTTACACTGTTGTGACAAAATTATATCATAGATTACATCATTTTCACACCTATTTATGCAAGTTACAGAACCAGAATTTATAGTGACAGATACCAACAATTCACTAGCACTATATTAGTGAATTTATTAAAAAAAAATAGTCAGGGCCCGTAGATTGATATTAGCTGTTAAAAAATCACCCAGTGTTTTGCAAACTTGCTAGTTTCGGATTCATGAAATTTGGTTTATGGTGGATTAAACTATAAACTATATCTCGACAACTAAAGTTCGAGTTTGAGCTACTATCTTAAGCAGGTAATGTTATTCCAACTATGATTGTGATTGTCCAGTACTTTTGGAGATGTCTTGGAAAATCAAACAGCCACCAAATGGAGCTATTTCTAATGATTGAATATTAGTTGATAAATTTTTATTCAATTTACTGAAATCTTATCACAAAGAAGTAACTTACTACGATGTAGTTTCAGGTATTGCCATGAGTATTGCTAACATAGCAAGAAGGAATCCAATCGCTCTTTCCATCTTCTTACGTTGCCCTAACAACCAATGTACGACTATTAAACTGCAAATGACAAGAATCGTTAGTGTCTTTTCTTTATGTACAAATATTGATGGAAAAATCGTATTGAAGACTGATTGCTAACTTTCCAACAATAACAAACCTAGCATAATTTTTGGAATACTGTCTCTGCTTTCTGCCTCAGAAAGCTACGTCGATGCCGGCTTTTTGGGGGTGTGTCGTGGGTCGTTATGAGTCATAGTCTGACTTTGTAAAAATTCAGGAAGACAATTTTTTAATATTGTATGTAATAGATCATGGTGACATTTAGAGGCAAATCCACGTACATATCTTATCACATTGAATACTATGGAGAACAATGGTTCCATGGTAATAATATTAATCATGAAAAGATAAGCACCAATAAAACATCTTATGCGACGACAGATGATATCCAAGTCGATTTGCTCTCCTACCATTAGGGTTATGCGATATGCCTTGGTTTTAGGTTTATACTTGAACATTGTCCTAGCTTGGCATCTCTTCATCAAAGGCAAAGTCTACTACCTGGTATATTTAAGAATTGACATATCAGATTCATCACAAATTTCGATTTTTGAGTATTCTCGTGAATGCTTCTCTGATCGAGTATAGCGATTCCCAATGCGGTTTGTTTAAGCTGTCTGCCTTCATTTCAAATTGTAGTTGAACCATAAATACTATCTATTTTATACCGACGGCGAATCATCAGGGTTCCTTTTCGTCGCAGAATTGCAGCGCAAAGGTGTGACTCATTTCTTTTGCAACATCTTTGCGGCATTTTAAAGAAAGGTATACAAGCCTATATCACTTGGCTGTGATTGGTCGATTGGTGTTGGTATTTATTTAAAGACCACGGGGGTGCTACAATTAGCGAGAAATACATTATTTCGAATGGAAAAATATTGTTTATTTATATATATTATATAAATTATTGGTTCGATGAGGGTTTTTGGGACGTTTTTGGGTCATAGTACACGTTGCAAATGAGAAATAAATCGCGAGAGCAGCAACCGGACACCGACCCCAAAATAAATCAGTCTGGTTTTGTATTAGTCATAATACCACTAATCCCATAGGAAAGGTTCAAATAGTCGCTCTTCGTAAACCAATGTAGTGTGTCGTACATTGGGGTTTGTTTGGCCGAGTTCAATTGCATTTACCTGATACCATTGGATGAGACCCAAGAGATTTCGCTTTCGATTTATTTATGTCTGCCAACATCTTATAATCTGGTATATATAGTGTTTATTTCCAAAAGTTTGGCTCTTGTTTTGGAGAGCTCTTTCTGAGTAATTGTGGTCCAGGGGTTTAATATTTAATAGTTCAGAGTTCAAATCGTAAACAATGAATGATATCCTGTCTTCATCACTTCCTTTTTTTTAAATTATGCTTTGAACTTGGCGATTTCGAATTATTTTAATAAATCTATTCTGTAGAAAGATATGACGCATGCCAATTTATACTACTAAAGTTGACGTAAATTTTCATCTCACTGCGTGAGTTGTAAATTTCGGAATAAAATCGTTGATTTCGATTATCGGATTTCTTAATAACGAAACGTCCTTGTGATTTGTATTAGTTTCGTTACCCAATTTCATTAGGTATATTTTTTTATTCCAAATTATGTTATTCCATAAAATTGAATATAAGGGTCCTCGCGTTAACCCTCTATATTGCGATCTTATTTGTCTGACCGACACCTGAATGTAGATGTAGAATGTAGTATTAATCGTTAATAGTTATGTGATATGTCTGGTAACATGAATTATAACTAACTGTACGAACTAAGAACATCTCGAGGGAGCAAAATCCGTTATAGACTCGGACGTGGGTTCCCCAATTCGGTTCATGCTAACAGCATAGAATGAAAAATGGAAAGTTTATACATAATATAATGGTAAACGTACAGACTTCGCATATTTTTGACTGTTTGTGGGCTTTCATTGACTGTTCTTGTTTAAACCCCGGACTCCTGATCGGAAACGATGCTCAAAGTGTTATTTTCGAAAACATTTTTCAGGTTTCGCCCAACGTCTGTCATAAAAATTTTCACATTTTTATAATCCTGATTGATGTGGTCACAAGTCATAAAACGGTTGTTAAATTCGGGATCGCGCTCTTTATATTTCAACTGCGCATTTATGTCAAATTTACTAGTATCGTATGTTCTGTGTGCCCATATACACCGATATATACACGCTATTTCTTGTATGTCTCTAAATTGGACCCTATATCATCGCTGTTTATTATTTTTAACTTTCTATCCATACCACCATCTCTAGCCTCCTCTACGTTACTCCATGTCCAAACGAATCATTCGTTGGACTGAGAAAAACTATTGATCACTGTTGGATCACAATAAGCCCTTATGTATACATTTCATTACTCTTCTTTGTTTACCATCGTTTATCACAAGTTCGTTAACTGGGGTTAACCTGGCGTTCTCAAATTTAGTGAGGAATGCTGATTTCTGTCATTCAATAAGCACTTAACCTCCATTACTGTTTGGTCTAGTCTGTATGGTAATCCAGCCTTATCCGATTACTAAGCGAAAATTCAACATTTACTCTGTAAAACTAAACCGTCTTATTTCAACAAAATCCTTCGTTTCTATTTATATCCATTAGAGGTACGTTCTCAGCAGATAATATTTTCTGCGGGAGTGATTAAATTGAATCAAAAACTAATCAAAAGGCATTCTGTTGTTCTTAATTGTTTTCTGACTAATTGTTCTCAGTTGCCAAATCCTGGTAAGTCATTTACCACGCATGCGATGCGGGTAAAGTGCTTGTTGCCTATTTTCTCCCACAATAGCCCCGTCCCGGACTAAACTTTGCAATATTACGTTGTCTGCCATATATTTATGTAGTTTGCTTTTTTCTTTGGAATTTGACAATTTCTCAAAAAAAAATGTTGCATTATGCATTTGTGTGTGCACTGATTGCACTTTAACTAAAGTGGTGTCAAAACATTTCTTGGCCTCTGAAGTTCTCTCGCTATGTGTGGCGACCGACCCATATTCAAATTTTGTGACCGTTTACAATTTGTAATCATTTCGAAAGAAATTCCAATTATGGTGTATGATCGATGACGCCTTTTAGGGTCGTAATTAATTTAAGGGGATCTAACACTCCCCCCCCCCTTTTTTGAAAATATTCGTTTTTTATCATACATAGCGGGTTTTCGTAGCTTGACACACTTTTTAGACCTTAAAGACTCCTGAAACCCACGGACCCGCTAGCCCATACGGTCTATCTCGCATATTAGAAATTACACAACCACCTACACCCTTGCAGTGAACGTACATAGGAAACATTAACAATAGCATATTTAAATTTAGAAATCTTGTCTTGTGCATGCCATATTTATTCTATCTGCATTATTGCATTAAGATAGTGCTATATTAGTTACTTGTGTGACCAATTCCAAATACGGACGTAGCGCTGTAACATATATGTATAGGAGAAAAAACATTTGGTTGCATGTCTCAAGCCCGCTTCAGATTCCTTGAATTGTTGTAGGTTTTAAACAGTCGTGTAGCCAGATGTACATGCCCATGTGGGTTCAATGACGAATAATGCGATTGGATGTCTAAAACCTTAACGATGACAAATGCGTATGTTTTGAATGCTATGAACTTCTGAATATGGCGTTTAAATATTATTTTGTTGTAGACTGATTACCGATCGATTACTCTGGCGAATGTAATCTCTCATTTTAGCCGCTTTCGGTATTTTGAGATTTTCATATGTCCATTTAGGTCATTTTCTTAATATGTACTGTGTTCTGTCTGTATCCCGTTGGATTTAGATTTTAGTCCAGTCGTATGCGAGAAACTTATGACTATTCAAATCTGTGCGACTTGTATACAGTTATTCGTAGGAAAAACTTCCTCCATAATTATGACCGCTTTGTTATTTTGCATTATGCCACGTGGTTTCATTATATGTTGGAGAGATCATACTCGCCCACCTGGAATTAGTACCTCCCGTAAGTTTTAATCTGGGTAAATTCTTTTGGATAAGAAGTAAATTAAGAAGATAGATAATTTGGTAATCCGCAGTGTGTGTACCAGGTTAGGTTTGGGCCATAATTTTTTCCGATTTTCCCTATTTTAGTTCTATTACGTAGTTCGGGGACTGTCTGTGAATATACCCACAGGTTTTAGTCCCTTTACACAGCTTGATGTGAAGTAGGCGAACAGAATTAGTTCCCTCCATACTTGTACCCCCACTTCTGGAGCGCAGCTAATTTTTGGTCAGCTGGACTATATGTGCTCCAAACCCTGTTACAATATACGTGATTTCCAACATCGGTAATATTTGTAGCTACAATTTTCGAAAATATTGGTGCTCTGAAAATAGAAGAAAAACTGGTCTAGTAGGACTCTTTAATACAGGTTGCAAAACAATTTCGAACCGCGATCGATTTTGTCAAACTTGTATGTCATCTGTTGTACTATTTCATTTCGAATCAAATGCGATATGAGATTACAGCTACGGTATATGCTTTTACCAAAGAATCTATTTCAAACAGTTACTTAGCATGTGGTCCCAAACGCATTGTTCTGAATTCCATGTTTAACTGGATATTTGGACCTATCCTATATTATTGTTCCCAATTGTAAAGT